TAGTGGATGATTTGGTTGTGAGAGATGAGGTAGGAAACATATTGACATAGGTAAACCTCAATTAATAGAATATTATATCATGAGTTAATGAAGACAAAAATAAAATTTGGATTGAGTAGGCATGGCAATGTTACAGAAAGTCAATGTATACTTGAGTGCCTCATGACGAGGAAGACCCAATTTATTCTTCCACATAATGTATATAGAAGGTTCTATACGGATGGCTCAAAGCTATAGATGTAATTCTCATGAGTATGTGTGCATAAGGTAATTTGAAGATGACAAAATCCAAATTTGCAGGCTTGCAATTGACCAAATTCTAAACAAGTGTTAAAATCCATTGGTATATAACACTTTGTGATTTCACTAATGAAGAAAATTTCTTAACTCATAAATGGATTTTGTGACATTGCAAATTATATTTAAGAACCTCAATCTTTAATCATTGTTTTCACTCTATATTGTCAAGTCTTTTTACACAATTTGACATATTTTTAGCATATACAATATTTTTTATAATTTTTCTTTACTAAATAAAAAATAAACTAAAATAGGGATGTATCCCTTCCGTTACTAAATAAACTGAGATAATATAAGTAACTTTATATACTAATAAAACATGAAATATATCCATAATATAACAATGTTTCTTTTTATAAATTAAACATTGGTAAGAGGCAGGACAATAACAACAATATTATGTAGGATGGATAGTAAGAGCAGAAAAATAATTTATTGAAGGTGAGTGTTAGAAGAACAACACATAAACAAATAATTTTTATGTCTTGATATTCATCTCGAAGAATCATGTTTACAAGTATAAAGTGATTGTATATATGAGTTATGTTTAGAAAAAAACTTAGTGAATGAATAGTTAAATCTGGGTAGCATACCCCTTGATTATTAAGGAAACCAATGGAATATATTAATTAATAATTAAATAAAAACTAAAATAAAAATAAATGCGTCACTTTTAAAAAAATAAAAATAAAATTTGTTGTTGCTGGTATTCAAAGCGTGTACGTTGAATTAGTTTATCCCTCAGTTTAATATAAAACTGATGAAATATATTGTAATTATTAAAAAGTAAAATAAAACATGGCGCTTACAGGTATGATACTTCGGATTTTTATTACTTGAGGTGAAATCGTTATCATAAAATATATTATTTGTAGTAGTCACTAACAAAAACTAAACTCAAATTTTATACTCATAATATAATTAAATTTGAAATTAGAAATTAACTTAAAAACGAATAATTGCAGTAACAAAAATTCTTAGATGTTCTTATATTTGACAAAGATGAAATATCAATAATTATTCATTCATATTAAATCTATTTAAGAAAAACTATATTATGTTATTATTTAAAATTTTGACTGATATATGTAGGTGAGTTAAACGAGTATAAACTAATGGTTTAGAATTCAATCTTTAACGACAACATTTATTTATATTTATATATTAATATAAATAAGTTTTTAATATTTATAATTCAACAATTTAAAAAAAAAACAAATTTAGTTAGAGAACTAAAATAATTCTTCATACATTTTTTTAAAAAATAAAAAGGGTTTCATGCATATTATCTTTGTAGTTATTAAAATTTTCTATTAACTTAATATATTGAAGGTTGATGACAAGTACCAATACTCAAGTGAAAATATAGACCTCAAGGTGCATGGATGGACAAGTTCAAAATCTGAAACAAACCAAGCAATAGGGTTTTGGGTAATCATACCTAGCAATGAATTCCGATCAGGTGGCCTTGCCAAACAGAATCTCACCTCTCATGTTGGCCCTATCAGTCTTGCAGTAAGTATTTTTCTTTAAATATATCAATCTTATTCACAATGTTTACTCATTATTATTTAATAATGCAAAAACAAAAAATTACATGAATTTAAAGTATATATAACCTAAAAACAAAGAGTTTGCAATATTTTTTGTTTTCTCTACAGATGTTTCTTAGTGCTCATTATGCAGGAGAGGACATAGTTCTCAAACTCCAGCCCAATGAGCCATGGAAAAAAGTTTTTGGACCAACTTTTGTCTATCTTAATACCATTTTAGATCATCATCAGGATTCACTAGAGCTATGGAAGGATGCCAAATATCAGGTTGATAATCAAAATAAATCGAGATATTTCAGTTTTATTTATGAATGATAAACGTAACAAATAGTTATTACTAATTATTTAAGTACTAATTAAGATCACTTAAAATTACTTCAAGATGAACAAGGAAGTTCAAAGTTGGCCCTATGATTTTCCAGCTTCAATTGATTTTCAAAAGTCTAGCGCACGAGGATCTGTTAGTGGAACGATACTAGTTCGTGATAGGTAAGATTGATATATATTCTTGTATCTTAACTTGAAATTTCAAAATATTAGGTATATGAATCGTCTCATTCATATGTTTTATAATATCCATTTTTCCATTCGGTGTGGTGCATAGATTTAAATGTTGAAAATGAAAATTTTTAGGTTTGTAAGTGATAAGGACATAATAACACAAGGTGCATACATAGGTTTGGCACCACCAGGAGATGTTGGATCTTGGCAAAGAGAATGCAAGGTTTGTGGCAAGATATGTATAAATATAAGGATGCAACAAGTGGTGATTAGTTAGAAACTTTTACTCATAATACCTTTATTTTAGGGATACCAATTTTGGTGTAGAGCAAACAAGGATGGACACTTTTCAATAGAAAATATACGAAGTGGAAATTACAATCTATATGCATGGGTTCCAGGTTTCATCGGAGAATATTGGAACAATATTGTCATCAAAATAATCCCAGGTTAATATTATTATAAATGTTCTTGCCATTTAATACACTAATATTCATGTCTTATTGAATATTATATGCAACATGCAGGTTGTAAAATAAACTTTGGTGACATTATTTTCGAGCCTCCAAGAAATGGTCCAACATTATGGGAGATTGGAATCCCTGATCGCTCTTCTGCTGAGTTCTACATTCCGGATCCTAATCCAAAATTCATAAACAAGCTCTTTATAGATCATCCAGACAAGTTAGTTACTCTTTCTTACAAATCATTTAGGACAACTTTAAAAAATCATAGTTAGGATTCAAAAATATTATACTGTAAATTTTAATAGGGGTGTTCGCGGGCCGATTTAGTTCAATTATGAGAGAATCTGATACCCAAACCGATTAAAAATATATGGATTAGTTTGGATTGAATTTTAACATTTTTCCGATAAAACCCAAACCGAACCAAACAGAGGAATAATAGGTTGATTTGGGTTATGAAATTCTAGCAAGCAGATTGCATATGTCCTAACAACATGTCACGACATTGTTCTCTGCATAACTTTAAAAGAAGGGCAGAATAAACAAGCTGACATTCTGAATATCAGCAACAGAATCATGACAGATGTTTCAACATTTGTTACAACATGTTAATCAATAAGCAAATACTGAACTGTTAGTATAATTAAAAGATCTCTGCAAACAAACACACATACATATAACATGTTAGTATAATTAATTTAAAGACGTAACTATCAACATAATTAAAAATAATCAAATATCATACCTGAATCTCGCTCCAAACTTTATCTTTAGCCGGTTGTAATGAAAGAATTCTCCAATTATCGCAAGTAATCGGAACTTGCGAACGTACAAGTGCTCTGATGTAACTTGTTAGCAACGCACCGTTAGGCTCAACTAACTGATCTCTTTCATTCCAATGGACATCATAATTTACTCCTTTATCTCTCACACGGATGATTTTTTTCATAATCGTTATGCCTCTTTTAATATCGCCTTCCACGTCTTTCGTTGTTTGTTTTCCATCATGTGATGTTTCCTCGTTGCTGGCCATAATATATATACCTGTAATTCAGAAAAACCAAAGTATCAAATGAATGACATGCAAATATGTAAATAACAAATATATACATAAGAAATGTATAAATAAGAAAAACATGGTATAAATAAGAAATAATATGTTACAAGTACCTTTAACATCTCTTTCTTTTTTTCGTTTTAACGGGGTTTACTTGTCTCTTAACAACACGGACAGATGGATTGATCCAAATTCCCTCGTTATGATCATTTCTAATATATGATTTGTCCGCTCTAATATTCTCATCTGGATCATCTATAATGTAAGATTCATTCTCAACATCAACATCCCCCTTTTCTCCAATGTTATCATCGATTACTTTGTTGAAAAAAAGAACTATAGACCATTTCGTACTTGTCGGATCAGTGACATAGAACACTTGTTTAACTTGCGTGGCTAGAATAAAAGGCTCATCTTTGTACCCCACCTTATTAAGATCCACTTTTAAAAAATATGATTTATCCATTCGTATGCCACTATTATTTTCAATCCACTTGCATCCAAAGATAGGAATCTGAAACTTCTCATAATCAAACACCCAAATGCGCTCGATAACCCCATAATACGAGGAAATGTGCATTGCTTCGGCAAGCACGGTGACACCACTATTTTGCATTGTACTTTTATCATCTTGTTCCTTGGTATAAAATGTGTATCCATTAATTGCGTATGCGCTATAAGAAAACACATGCAAACTTGGACCATATGCTAAACATCTCAACCTTTCTGTTATTGAAGTGGGATCAGAATAAAACTTTGAAAAAATATGCTCCTTGAACCATGTTATAAAACTTCGATTGTGCTCACGTACTATCCAATTTTCATTTCTATTCAGATTTAAACCTCGAAGAACGTCCTTGTGCATTTCAACATACGGCTCAACCTCAATGTCATTGTGCAGAACATACAAATGCACTTGCTCCCGTTCATCCCTTGAAACTATCACAACTTTATTTCCGATTAACTGTTTACCTACTATTTTTTCAACAACATGAGATTTTGGGAGGCCAATGGATTGAAAGTTGGACAAATATTCAGTACAAAACTCAATAGCTTCTTCAACAATGTATCGTTCAACATGAGATTTTGGGAGGCCAATGGATTGAAAGTTATAATGTTATAATGAAAACAGATGAACAAGTTGAAATCTCATTTACTAGAATATGGGATCCATCTCTAAAGGGAAAACAATCACCTCTAAATATAGACAAAAGGTATCCATAATGAATTTTGAAAAAAGCTTAAATATATATTTAAACAATTAATTAATTAATTATATATTTAAACAATTAATTAATGATTATGTAGGTATGTGATGCTACGTAATTCATCAGGATTCTACTCTTATGCTATATTTGAACACTTAAAAGAGTGGCCAGCTTTCAACATACCTCAAATAAGAATTGTTTATAAACTTCGTAAAGACAAGTAAGGATTAATTAACTGTATAATTAAGATTAATTAACTTTATGAGAATATTAATAATTGTTAATGAGTGTAGGTTTCATTACATGGCTGTGGGGGATGATAGACAAAGGTTTATGCCTCTACCTGATGATCGATTACCTGGAAGAGGAGAAGAACTTGTTCCTCCAGAAGCTGTTTTGCTTGTTAATCCTGTGGAACAAGAGTTCAAAGGAGAGGTATTTCTTTTTGAAAAATAGTAGGTGATTAAACAAAATAAAATAAAATCAACATGTTAAACTAAGAATACCTTAAAATTAAGAAATAATCCAAATTACATAGTTGTTTTAGTAAAAACGAAGTATTTAAATAGTTGATGAGTTGTTGAATGAGGTTGAGAATTTTTTATGGAACTAATGCCATCAACATAAGTGAGCCTAATGATAAAGTAGATGGAACTGATCAATGTGAATAGAGAAGGATTACACTGGCCTGAAAACTAAAGTTGTGTAGGGTTGAATTACGCCTCTCAAGCAAGATCGCAAGATCATTGGTGCTTGTTTGAGGTCATAAATAGTTTTATTGAGTTTGCACATAAATGATGTATCTCAGTTGATAAATTTAGGTGGTTGTCTCGTGTACATTTCCTCTTAAAACAACCTATTTAAGAATGTATTATTCAAATCAAGTTTTCTTCTATTAGCTTGAAATTTGTAGCTGTTAAAAAGTCATCAGAGAATGGTAATGGCTATGTTGAAAATACTAAGTGTCAAAGTTTAGACCAAAAGCTTTGACACGTTGACTGTGTCAACCTAGTGGTTCGACTAAGCTGTAAGTGGAGTCGAGATCAAGAATAATTTGAAGGAGTCTCAGGAACAGATCTATAAGATTAAGATCAGTCTTTTTTCCAAACATGATTAGAATCTTGAAATTCATATAACAACTCTTCAACAAGATGTCGAAGTAGACACTTAGTAAGTTTTAAGGACTTACGATATTCTTAAAGTCCAAAGACTGTGATGTGGAGATGTCTCAGTTATCAACAAGGGAAATTAAGGCGTTCATAACGAATATCAACGCAGTTATCGCCGTGTTTGTTTGGTTTTCAGCAGTTTCTCTTTGAAAACTCGTGGAAGCAAGTTAGAGAAAAATAACCCGCGTAGTAGGACACGCGCTGAACATGTAACCAGTGATTGTTGTTGGCAGTTATTTTAGGACTAATATATAAAGCAGGGTCAGACCTTGAATTAGAGGTTGCAAAATTCTCATTCATTCTCTATAGAATCAAAGTACCCAAGTCATCGAGCAAAATAGTTAGTGAAAAATTCGAGTTTGCGTCCACTCTTTAGATTCTCTTAAAATCCTTTGTATTTCAAACAGTTACAATTAATGTCATTTACTTCATTTACTTTGTTTATTGCTTTTTAACTTTATCCAAAGTTTATTGCTCACATATAGTTAGTTTATTATCCAAGTTTTTTAAATTCAGATCACACACTTTTCATTGTATATTTTCTTTACATGAATTGTCTTTGAGATTTTTTGAGTTAATCTTGTAAGTGAACTAAACTTGTGATTCTTTATTAAAAACACCAGTAAACAAATTGGCACTCTCAGTGGGACCCTTTTATGTAAAAAGTTTATTTTTGCATAAAATTTGTGTTCTTTTCGTCTAATTTTTTGTTCTTCATTCAAGAAATGACTTCGGTTGTCGAGTGTGTATGTGTTTGAGGAATTGCAAGACTCTTCTTGAAATGGAACATCCACTGTCTAGAAACATCCCCCTCCCAGAACAATGCTCAGAACTAAAAAAAAACAACTAGTTGCACCACGGTTCCTCATGTAGGAACTTCAGCTTTTGCTGGAGAAATGCCTATTGTTATAAGTCAAATAATTGTGTCATCTGTATCACTAGAAATGGTGGCATCCTTATCACAAGTAACGAGTGTGTCCACTACCCCTAAGGCTACACAAAATATGATAGGATGTCAAAGGCCTTTTTACCATTGAGTTTCACGTTACCTCTAAGTGGTAGAGAATGGTCTTACAACATGCCAACTGCTATGATGGCAAGCCTACACCCTAGTACATCTACGTATACAAATAATGCAATGTATATTGCATCCTCTATTAACCCATACTTAGCATCAGGGTTTGTTGTTAACAACCCTAGTTGAATGGCACAATATTCAAGAGGTTTAGAATATATTCCTCCAGGTATGCCACCCTTAACCAATAGATCTCTCCAGTCTGTAAGACAACAAATGAATGAGAGTAATTACAAAATGGTTAACATGCTTAGACACCAAATATGCACAATGTTCAATCCTTTGATTCAGAACATTAATCACAGTTACCATCAATTAGCACAACATATGGTTCAGATTGTTGACTTCTTTGGTGCTCCTTAGGCGACTATTCAACAAGCTCCTAACAATCAGATACCACAATAGGCAATACCTATCGAGCCACTCGTACCCGGGGTATGCGAAAGTAATGCATGCCAACATTTCCTTGAGGTAGTGTTGGTTAATAGAAACCAAGATGAAGACCAAGTAGTTATAAATGCCTAGAAAACTAATTTTGGAGAGCAGAACATTATGACTAATGTGGTCGAACTGATTTTGGCCCAGAATAGCCTTAATGTCGGCCTGCATAGGCCAAAATTTTCCTCTTCATTGTCTGGTTGTATATTGCAGACTAAACTACCAAGGGGTTGGAAGATCCCAAAGGTCACTGGGTTTGTAGGGGATATTAATGAATCTACTGTCAAACATGTGACACGGTATGAATCAGAGACAAGAGATATAGCTAATAATAAGAATTTGAAAATGAAATGCTTCTCAAATTCCTTAACTAAAAATGCTTTCACATGATTTACTTCCTTACCCCCCACATTCCATATGTAGTTGGAACCAACTAGAGAGAGTATTCCATGAAGAATTTTACATGGGTCATTTCAAGATTAGCTTGAAAGAGTTAACTAGTGTGAGGTAAAAGTTGGCCAAATCGATAAACGACTACCTCAACATGTTTATGATAATGAAGACAATGGGCTTTACTAAACTTCCTAAACATGAATTATTCTAATTATCCTCATGTTGTCTGGACTATTCAATTAGAAATAAGTTAGACACCTATTATTTGAGGGACACGACCCAACTAGCAGGCAGAGTTTGGTAAGTTGAACGCTTGAAAGCTGAAAAGGCTAGGTCAAATAAATATCATAAAAATAAAAATAGCCTACGTCGAAATAGATTAAATATATGGTTCTAATTATGTTAAAGAGTGAGGTTAATATGGCCTAATTAAATTCAGGGCCACCTTACACCTTTAAATTGTTAAGACCTTCAAACGGGAAGAAAAAGGGTCAAGAATGCTCTCAAGAAAGAGAGGTTGAAATTTTCTAAAGAACCCACCATTAGAGAAAAGAAAGAAAAAAGGTTTTTGCAAATTTCATAACTTCCTAGATCATACAAGCTTACAATGTGTCCTTTTTAGGGATCTGGTCTATAATGCTCTCGAGGAAGGGATGTTGAAATTTGTTGATAAGCCAAAGCTTTGGGAAAAAGGAAACTCAGAGAAGAGGCTCTCTATGTTAAAACTCTTGACATAATGATGGTCGAAATTTTGGATAATAGCAACACAGAGGCGATTGAAATTAGCCCACTCGATTACACGGAGCATGTGAAAGTGGTGTATCCAAAAGCAGAGCAAGAGTTTATTGATTTCTAAAACAGATGCAAGCTGAAAGATTTTGAAGTAATGATGTGCCTGCCTTACAACACATTCTTTTATAAGGAGGCTGCCAAAAGCTTGGAGAAGTTTAGGCCATAAATATCTAGAAGGATTGATAAGAAAGACAACTTCACTTTCGACAAAAAAGGTATTCGTAGTAGAACTCCTCAGGGAAAAACTTATGTACCATATACAAATGTCCCCATTGAAGAATGGATGAGACCTGTAGAGAATATTGACACTGATCAACACAAGTGGAAAACGATCGACATTGGTGCGGGATATTCATACTATGATAATTCTCTGACATCAAAGAAGTATTCATATAATTCAAAGAACTACCTAGGGAAAAAAACCCAATGACTAGAACTCAATGGAGGAGGTACCAAAGGAAGAAAAAGTTTGCCTTTGAAGCTGAGAGTTCGAACAAAAGTGACAGTGTCAAAGTTGTGAAGGGATAACAGGCAAACAAAAGTCATGTCAAGCAAAGACTATTCCCTCCATTATCTCCTCTAGAGAAGTCAGAAGTGTGGAAATTCATTCCAAATGAGGATGAAGATATGGCAACAAATAGTTTTAATGTTGGTTTTGGAGAAGAGCTAGACATAATTTATAGCATAACATCCGTGTTACCCGTGGAATATGATCAAGTTACCGAAATGACTAAAGATGAAAATAGGTTAGTCGAAGAATTGGCCAATCAAAAACCTCTATGCTAATATGTGATGAACAATGGTATCATAGGAGAAGATAAGGCCATTTTTGAAAGGCATGACTATGGGATACAACAAATCCTTAAGCCTTTCTTCATTTGGGCAAAGGTTGAAAGTGTGAGGATCAACAAAGTGTCAGTCGATGAAGGAACGACACTCAACATAATTCCACACTCAATGTTGAGTAAGATTGGTAAATTTGACACCGACCTCAGACCTTACAGCATGTCTCTTTTAAAATATGAAGGAAAGCAGACACATCCCATGGTATTATTCAAGTGGATGTCATGGTAGGAACAATATCCAGGACAACATTGTTTGTGTTATCCCAACCAAAGAAAATTATAACTTGTTGTTGGGTCAAGAATGGATCCATAACGTAGGGGTTGTCCCTACGATAATGCACCAGAGAGTATCAATTTGGAGGCCTGATGGCATTGTTGAAAACATAGAAGTGGATCAAAGTTTCTTTATAGCAGAAGTCAATTAGATTAACAAGAGAAATTTTGATAGAAAATTGGCCCATATTGCACCATGTACACCAGATGGAGAACCATTTGCTCTATAAGGGGACATATCTCATTCCATAAAGCTACATCAAACTCATGGATTCATTTGGGAATATGAAAACATGGGAGGAAATCAGACCAATGTTATAAGATGGTCGACCAAAGAGAACGATGACTTCAGAGCAATTGCCTGGGATTTTGGCTTACATGACAGTAAATAAAATAAGAGCGGCTTTAGAAGCTGAAGCTCATCAAAAAATGGTTGTCAAAGCCACAATAGTTCAAACTGTTGAAACATTAGAAACTGGGCAAATAACAGCTTCAGAAAGCCACAGACTCGACTGCATATATGATGACGAACCTTTGGTGTTTGAGAAACATATAATAGCCTCAACCAAAAGGATGCAAGCACAAGATCCTTTAGAAGAGATAGACTTAGGGGATGGGATGACCAAAAGGAGAGCCTATATAAGTGCTAAAATCTACCCAAGCCTAAGAACTCAAATAATCAAAGTTTTGAATGAGTTTAAAGACTGCTTTAGCTAGGATTATTATTAGATGCCAGATTTAGTCGGGATTTGGTGGAGTTAAAACTGTTGATTCAACCTGACAAGAAGCCAATAAAGCAAACGCTGAGAAGGTTTTCACCAGAAGTCATGTCAAAGATTAAATCAAAAATTGAAAGGCTTCTCAAAACTAAACTCATAAGGATCGCATGGTATGTCAGGTAGTTAGCAAACATTGTCCCTATAATTAAAAATAATGGGAATCTTAGAGTCTGTATTGACTTCAGTAACCTAAATGTTGTTGTGCCAAAATACAAATACCCAATGTTAATGGCATAAATGCTAGTCGGTTTTGTGGATGGTTTTGAGTATTTAAGTTTTTCATATGGTTATTGTGGATATAACCAAATTTTTATTATAGAGGAGGATGTATCGAAAAGGGAATTTCGATGCCTTAGGAAAATAGGAACTTATTAATGGGTGGTAATGCCTTTTGGCCTGAAGAATGTTGGTTCAACATATTAGAGTGTAATGAACTCCATGTTTCACAACTTCATAGAAAATTTTATGCGAGTTTATATATATGACATAGTCATCAAATCCTCATTGGAAAACAGTCACTTAGACCACCTGCAATATTCCTTTGAAAGAATTAGGAAATATGGATTAAAAATGAATCCATTAAAATAAGCCTTTGGTGTTCATGCATGTGACTTTCTAGTTTTTGCGGTACATAAAAGTGCATTGAAATAAACTAGAATAAGGCGAAGTCTATATTTAATACGGAGTCCCCGTCAAACAAGAAACAACTACAATCTCTAATTGGGAAGATAGATTTCTTGAGGAGTTTCATTTTGAACCTAAGTGGCAAGACAAAAGTGTGTTCACATTTGCAATGATTGAAGAAAGAAGAAGGATTTAGATGGGAATCAGAGCATCAAAAGGCTTTTGATGAGATCAAGGTGTACCTGTTGAACCCTCTTGTTCTTCTACCTCCAGAGAAGAATAAACCAATGAAGTTGTATATTTCTACATCTGATTCGCTAATAGGCAACATGTTAGCATAAGAGAATAATGATGGCGTTGAAAGATCCATTTATTACCTTAGTCGAGTGTTGAATGATTCATAAACTAGGTATAACTCAATAGAGAAATTATGCCTTTGTTTATATTTCTCTTGTACAAAGTTGAAGTACTATATAAAGTCAATTTATGTGTTTGTTTATGCTCACTTTGATATTATTAAATATATGTTTCCGAAGCCTATTTTACATAGTAGAATAGGAAAATGGGATTTATTTTTCGTTCTCCGAAAGTTGCTAGGGATGAAAATGGAAAAAGTTTGGGAGTTTAAGTGTTTAGGGCTTTGAAGAAGAAGAAGAAGAAGAAGGAAAGTGGAAAATGAAAAACATAAAGGGTTTTTATAATGGAGAAACATTTCAATCCCCCCCCCAATGCAGTGGGACAAAGAGAACTTAAAAATATGACATTTGGCGTTTGAATTTCTTGAAGAAAATTTAGTTAATTATTTATTTAATGTGGTTTAATCGTGTGGAAACGATTGTCCTAGGAAATCAGAATAATGATGAGGGTCTGCACGCACGTTTGTGAATTGACAGTTTGATAGAAAGTGGTCATGATGACCATGACGTGTACATGCTATGATAAATAGTGTCGGACAGTTACAAAAAAAAATGCCACCTTAATTTCATCTGATACATATGATCAAAATTGGCATTTTTGGGGGAATCTGTTAGCCTGGAATTTCTAGTTATTGAAAAATCAATAGAGAATGGTAACGACTACGTTAAAAATAATAAGTGCCAAAGCTTTAACCAAAAGCTTCGACGTGTTGACAGTGTCGACCTAGTGGTTCAACTAAGATGTAATGGTTTGGGTCAATAATGGTTTGAGTCTAGGTCAATAATGGTTTGGAGGAATCTCAGGAACAAATCCATAATATTATGATCACATTCTCTTCCAAACATGATCAAAATCATGAAACTCATACAACAACTCTTTGACAAGATGTCGAAGTCAACACTGAGTAAGTGTTAAGGACTTAGGATATTTTCAAAGTCCAAAGATTTTGGTGTGGAGATGTCTCAGTTTTTAACAAGGGCAGTTAAGGCATTCAAAATGGTTATCAACGCAATTATCACCATGTTTGTTTGGTTTCATTTGTTTCTCTTTGAAGATACGTGGAAGCAAGTTAGAGAAAAGTAGCCCACGTAGTAGGACACACGTCAAACATGTAACCAGAGATTGTTGTCGAAGGTTATTTTAAGACTAGTATATAAAGCAATATCATGCCTAGAATTAGAGTTAGCATAATTCTCATTTATTCTCTATAGAACTAAATTATCCAAGTCATCGAGTGAAACAATTCGTTAGAAATGCAAGTCTACGTTCACTCTTTGGATTTTCTTCAAATCCTTTGTATTTCAACTATTTACAATTAATGTCATTTACTTCTTTTTCTTTTTTTATTAGCTTTTATATGTATCCAAAGTTTATTGCTTACATTCAGTTTGTTTATTATTCAAGCGTTTTAAATTTGGATCACATATTTTTCATTGTATATTTTCTTTAAACAAATTTTCTTTGAGATTTTTTGAGTTAATCTTCTAAGTGAACTAAACTCATGATTGTTTTGTGATTAGAGTGAATTTTTCCTGAAAATCAAACACTTTTTATTGATGGAAAGCTTTGCTAACTAGTCTTATTCTATACTTCATAACTAAACCATCAACATTTTCTTTGCTTTAAATATCAATTTCAACTAAAAGAACTCTTGTTGGCATAGAGTGATGTAAGGGCCCAAGTATTATTGTTTATTAAAGAATTGTATTAATCTTGCATAATAGATACCCATTTGGGATCTTTGAAGATCATTTTCTGATAAGTTGGTTCAAGCATAGTCAAGAGAATACTATGGTAAAGCTTATGTATAACTATCACATGTTGACTTTAATAGTCATAACATGAGCACTATTAGGATAAATTATATGGATATATTGAATAATGGTGAAGGAAAGGGAGTTGACATAGTGGATGATTTGGTTGTGAGAGATGAGGTAGGAAACATATTGACATAGGTAAACCTCAATTAATAGAATATTATATCATGAGTTAATGAAGACAAAAATAAAATTTGGATTGAGTAGGCATGGCAATGTTACAGAAAGTCAATGTATACTTGAGTGCCTCATGACGAGGAAGACCCAACTTATTCTTCCACATAATGTATATAGAAGGTTCTATACGGATGGCTCAAAGATATAGATGTAATTCTCATGAGTATGTGTGCATAAGGTAATTTGAAGATGACAAAATCCAAATTTGCAGGCTTGCAATTGACCAAATTCTAAACAAGTGTTAAAATCCATTGGTATATAACACTTTGTGATTTCACTAATGAAGAAAATTTCTTAACTCATAAATGGATTTTGTGACATTGCAAACTATATTTAAAAACCTCAATCTTTAATCATTGTTTTCACTCTATATTGTCACGCCTTTTTACACAATTTGAAATATTTTTAGCATATACAATATTTTTTATAATTTTTCTTTACTAAATAAAAAATAAACTAAAATAGGGACGTATCTCTTCAGTTACTAAATAAACTGAGGTAATATAAGTAACTTTATATACTAATAAAACATGAAATATATCCATAATATAACAATGTTTCTTTTTATAAATTAAACATTGGTAAGAGGCAGGACAATAACAACAACAATATTATGTAGGATGGATAGTAAGAGCAGATAAATAATTTATTTAAGGTGAGTGTTAGAAGAACAACACATAAACAAATAATTTTTATGTCTTGATATTCATCTCGAAGAATCATGTTTACAAGTATAAAGCGGTTGTATATATGAGTTATGTTTAGGAAAAAACTTAGTGAATGAATAGTTAAATCTGGGTAGTATACCCCTCGATTATTAAGAAAACCAATGGAATATATTAATTAATAATTAAATAAAAACTAAAATAAAAATAAATGCGTCACTTTAAAAAAATAAAAATAAAATTTGTTGCTGCTGGTATTCAAAGCATGTACGTTGAATTAGTTTATCCCTCAGTTTAATATAAAATGGATGAAATATATTGTAATTATTAAAAGGTAAAATAAAACATGGCGCTTACAGGTATGATACCTCGGGTTTTTATTACGTGAGGTGAAATCGTTATCATAAAATATATTATTTGTAGTAGTCAATAGCAAAAACTAAACTCAAATTTTATACTCATAATATAATTAAATTTGAAATTAGAAATTAACTTAAAAACGAATAATTGCAGTAACAAAAGTTCTTAGATATTAAATCTATTTAAGAAAAACTATATTATGTTATTATTTAAAATTTTGACTGATATATGTAGGTGAGCTAAACGAGTATAAACTAATGGTTTAGGATTCAATCTTTAACGACAACATTTATTTATATTTATATATTAATATAAATAAGTTTTTAATATTTATAATTCAACAATTTAAAAAAAAAAAAAAAAACAAATTTAGTTAGAGAACTAAAATAATTCTTCATACATTTTTTTTAAAAATAAAAAGGGTTTCATGCATATTATCTTTGTAGTTATTAAAATTTTCTATTGACTTAATATATTGAAGGTTGATGACAAGTACCAATACTCAAGTGAAAATATAGACCTCAAGGTGCATGGATGGACAAGTTCAAAATCTGAAACAAACCAAGCAATAGGGTTTTGGGTAATCATACCTAGCAATGAATTCCGATCAGGTGGCCTTGCCAAACAAAATCTCACCTCTCATGTTGGCCCTATCAGTCTTGCAGTAAGTATTTTTCTTTGTAAATATATCAATCTTATTCACAATGTTTACTCATTATTATTTAATAATGCAAAAACAAAAAATTACATGAATTTAAAGTATATATAACCTAAAAACAAAGAATTTGCAATATTTTTTGTTTTCTCTACAGATGTTTCTTAGTGCTCATTATGCAGGAGAGGACATAGTTCTCAAACTCCAGCCCAATGAGCCATGGAAAAAAGTTTTTGGACCAACTTTTGTCTATCTTAATACCATTTTAGATCATCCTCAGGATTCACTAGAGCTATGGAAGGATGCCAAATATCAGGTTGATAATCAAAATAAATTGAGATATTTTAGTTTTATTTATGAATGATAAACGTAACAAATAGTTATTACTAATTATTTAAGTACTAATTAAGATCACTTAAAATTACTTCAAGATGAACAAGGAAGTTCAAAGTTGGCCCTATGATTTTCCAGCTTCAATTGATTTTCAAAAGTCTAGCGCACGAGGATCTGTTAGTGGCACGATACTAGTTCGTGATAGGTAAGATTGATATATATTCTTGTATTTTAACTTGAAATTTCAAAATATTAGGTATATGAATCGTCTCACTCATATGTTTTATAATATCCATTTTTCCATTCGGTGTGGTGCATAGATTTAAATGTTGAAAATGAAAATTTTTAGGTTTGTAAGTGATAAGGACATAATAACACAAGGTGCATACATAGGTTTGGCACCACCAGGAGATGTTGGATCTTGGCAAAGAGAATGCAAGGTTTGTGGCAAGATATGTATAAATATAAGGGTGCAACAAGTGGTGATTAGTTAGAAACTTTTACTCATAATACCTTTATTTTAGGGATACCAATTTTGGTGTAGAGCAAACAAGGATGGATACTTTTCAATAGAAAATATACGAAGTGGAAATTACAATCTATATGCATGGGTTCCAGGTTTCATCGGAGAATATTGGAACAATATTATCATCAAAATAATACCAGGTTAATATTATTATATATGTTCTTACCATTTAATACACTAATATTCATGTCTTATTGAAGATTATATGCAACATGCAGGTTGTAAAATAAACTTTGGTGACATTATTTTCGAGCCTCCAAGAAATGGTCCAACATTATGGGAGATTGGAATCCCTGATCGCTCTGCTGCTGAGTTCTACATTCCAGATCCTAATCCAAAATTCATAAACAAGCTCTTTATAGATCATCCAGACAAGTTAGTTACTCTTCCTTACAAATCATTTTAAATAACTTTAAAAAATCATAGTTAGGATTCAAAAATATTATACTGTAAATTTTAATAGGGGTGTTTGCGGGCCGATTTAGTTCAGTTATGAGAGAATCTGATATCCGAACCGATTAAAAATATATGGATTAGTTTGGATTGAATTTTAACATTTTTCCGATAAAACCCAAACCGAACCAAACAGAGGAATAATAGGTTGATTTGGGTTATGAAATTCTAGCAAGTAGATTGCAGATGTCCTAACAACATGTCACGACATTGTTCTCTGCATAACTTTAAAAGAAGGGCAGAATAAACAAGCTGGCATTCTGAATATCAGTAACAGAATCATGACAGATGTTTCAACATTTGTTACAACATGTTAATCAATAAGCAAATACTGAACTGTAAATTTGCAGAATGATAAATAGCATAAGATATGTTAACCCAGTTCAGTGCAATTCACCTATATTTGGGGGCTACCAAGTCAGGAAGAAGAATCCACTATCAATAGTATAGTTTACAGTAAACAACCTCTGGTTTACCTATCACTACCCAATAAAAACTTTACCATTAGAAGTCACATCTAATTGATAAGAAAAACCCATCTCACTCCCTAAATCATTACTCGTGATATCTAACAGTTATAGTCATAATAACTATATCATTATACTTGAAAGACACCTCTTTTAATACAAAGTTCAGTCAAGCAACCTTGACTAACAATCCTCCTCGGATTCTATTGGATTTGCTTAAAAGCTTCATCCAAGAACAATACACAATTCATTACCTACAGGTTTCTGATTCTATATAAACATCTATGTCTGCCACAACATATCCAACTGATACAAAGGGAGACTTACAACACAAGAAAACCTACGACTCTCAAAACCCTAAACCCTTATTTTCTACTTTATAAGTATTACACAAGGATTCTTCTTTTACCCTAGGTCTATGTCTTCTTTATAATCTTCTGCAGTCTTGGGCTTTAAATCTTCTGTTTATTTGATCCACTGCTAAACGTGTCTTGAATCTTGGAACATATTTGTTAAAAAAAACCTGCTGAGTCAGTCATGATGTCGAGTCTTTATGCTGGGACATCTTATTCTAAATCTTTGTTATCTACAGAATTCTTCATGTTTGATCATCTTGTTCTTCAACAAGTTATACCAAAATTTAGTCAAACTACAGGAGCTTTCAATCTCCCCATTTTGACAAATTTTGGCTAAAACTCCTTAGTAACTTAGAACACAAGGCATGACTGTGTTCATAACTCAGATCACAAGACACGAAGGAAAGACTCAGATTAGAAAAGGACCCTGAGAATCAGACAGAATATCAGAACATCCTATCCAACATCCTTGCAACCCAACTATACGAACAGACTCAACCCCTGTACTTTTCTCCCCCTTTTTAGCCAAAAATTGACAAAGATGTCCAGTACATACTCATACCCAGACTGAACATATCCAAAGGTGGACAAATTCCATGAGAACAAGGCACAACAAAAAAACAACTTAGGACAAATCGAAGCCAAGAAACCCCTTTTTAAACCTGAGCTATTTCCTTAGGATGTAATGAACTATTTAAAATAACGAAGGTCAATTTAATGAGAACATTAAATGAGGAATGTAACTTCACCAAAGAAATATGCACCGACCAAGGCACTTTTGATTGTTTCAACTTTAGGGTAAACTGTCTAAAGAATGTGCATGTATCAAGACACATGTTTAACACGCCTTCTCTTAGGAACATGCTCCACCGTCCAAGAAACACGTCCAAAGAAGTAACTTGAAACAACCACAAGCCCTAAACAATGTCCTGACACTTTGTTAGAATTTGTTCATACCATCTGGTAAACTCTAAAGCATAGCCATAATGCCTTTCAATGAGCCCCAAGAATACTCCTTTCAACTAGAAGTAAAAACAACTAACCATGATGTTAAGACATTTCTTCAAACATCTCCCAGTTAACAACCAGGTCTCTCCTGAGCCTTACCTAATCCTGCAGAGAAAAATACATTATCACAAACACAATTAGTGATTCTCAGGACACTTCCAAGAAGCTTGCACAACTTTGATTCAATTCATTGACATCCCAAAGACAGAACCAAAATCAACCTGTCTAGTCCACCCAGAACTATAACAGTAACACAATGTCACAACATCTTGTCTGATATTACACCCTCACCAGAGGATCATAATCACAAACTATTTGAACCACAAACAATCTTGATAAATAAATGCACTACTGCATCATTAGATCCTAGACAGAAGTATAACTCCCTCTATCAAGGATAACCAATGCTCCTTTGCCAAAATAACACCTTAACGTGAATGGAAAACATAATACTCATCTTCAGGTCTTCAAGAGCTCACTCCTTGTTCAACACACCTGCTGAACACATTCACTCACTGCTTGATCCATAAGCAATCTGTGTACCACAATAGTACACCCATCAGATAGAAGCTTTCCCCCTATCTTTTATAAAAGATGCTCCCTCCAACAAGAAACGCCCAAAACTACCACTTGTTATCTCATGACGAACTTCATGCTCATACAGTGAGAAAGTACCAAGATTACCATCCTTGTACTATAACTAATGAACTCTTAGATTAAGACCAAAATCACCATTGACCCCTCTCATCCTGAACCCATCCATACCCTATACAAATCCACCTTGAATCTTACAATCATAGATATCCATGTTCCTTGAGAAAAAATCCAATTGAACCTGGAATGCTTCATATTCCTCAAAGAGACATACAAAGCCTCTTAGTTTGTTGGTTATCCCAAATGTCATTCACACTTGAAGAACATCAAATACATGCTCCAGAAATCATCATCTTACTTGCTTCACAAGCACCAAACTGATCCACTTCTTTCTAGAGTTACTTGCAGCAGAAGAAACCACTTCTCCACAAGCATTCTGACCTTATCATGAGTCAAAGAACAAGATAGACACCCTATAATCCAAGACTGTCTTCACCTCATCATTCTCCTGTATGATAAGTTAGAACACTTCTAATTCAACTAGTGAATATCAATTATCACAATCTGAATTCGAAGTTCAGAAAACATGATGATGTTCTAACATCAGTTAGGACATCCAGATCATATCACAAACACCACACATTATGGTTCTTGATACAATAACAATTGGACTGACTATCTGCATAGTAATCCAACTGAAGATCTTCAGTGAATACAACTTCTTCCAACTTGATCATCAAGAACTTCGGACAACTGTAGAGAGAAATAAACTCTCATACTTCCACCAAAGCAAGCTTCTTAAGCGAATATCCCTTCAACAATCAGCAAGCCAAGAGCAGAACTAACTCCTCATTTAGATTTCCAAGAGACAAAAAGAAACTCTTGGTCCAACCAAGAACCTGGGTCTTCAGTAAACATCTTAGATACACTAAGACTATGAAATGTAGCCTCAACTAGCTTTTGCAATTCCCATACATTGCATATGATTTTTGGAGCATCCATTCCAAACACATATGAGATAATAATCTTTTCTCAAGATGATGTACCTCCACTATAACCAAATCCCTCAGAGGAAATAATCTAATGATAACCCTGATGTTAGAACATCTGATTTTGACATCAATGTCATGACTTCCAGCTGATGAGCTCAAGTCTGTCTCATACAGTCTTGATCATCTCCTCCTCAGACGTACCATTTCAAGGAACTTCTCCACTTCTACAGAACAAGATTTCCATGCTCTCATAAACGTGATTAAGATATAAAGTTTGAGTAGACAACCTCTATCCTATTTATGAACTATACCTAAACTGTTCAAGGACACACATCTTCAAAAGAATCTAACATGCCAAAGTCCGATTCTTTAGAAAAGGGTAATCAAGACCCGTCCACATAATAGCTATACCAAAAGAAATCCAGCTTTCCTTAAGTAGAGAATTCTTCAAGATGCCAAAGATACTGTCCTGGACACTCCTCCATGTTGAAATGGATCACATGCTCTCAGCAACTGCACTCCAATTTACCTAGATTAGAAATAAACTGACCCAGGCAATATTCATCAAGATTAAGATGTCTTCATCTTCACTTCCATCAACACCATATTCTAGATAAGTTTTCTGCCACAAAACTTCCTAGTCAGATAATGCGCCTTTGTAGATCCAACCTGAAGAAAGTTCCTAGCAATTTATGTTAACACACAAAAGTTTGGGTTCCCAGAGTGTAAGCTACTCCCCTTCCTTATCCTAGAGATTCGTTCCTTAAATCAACAAGATTCTACATAAACTCGCTGATGGGATTTTCAACATCCTGTTGAGCATCAGATCTTTGAAGTAGTCAAACAGATCCAAGGACTAGATACTTGAGCATCAACTGATGAGACACCTTGATCCTCAACTAAGTATAATCCATTAAATACTTGTGAGTAGAAATGAATCTTAAATCCTTATAATAAATCCTTCTCACAGAAGACTAACTTGAATCATCCACCTGATGTTAGTCCTTGAGTTGTTGCAACGAGAAATGTTGCACCTCCTGATGAGTCGTCTGAACTCCAGTAATCTTGAGCTTCAAGGATAACCAATTAAATACTTGTGCATTCCACAAATAGAAATTGATCTTAAATGCTAGTTCAGAAAACCACGCATCTTATAGAGAAGACTATCTGACAAATATTTACACTTCAACAATACTAAAAGTATTCTTTAGTGTAAGTATCTTTGATGTTGAAACATCAAGGCTGACACCATTGACTCAACCTGCCTATGACTTT